CCTCATCACAGATATACACACCAAATTGACAATCACGGTTAATCTCACAGAGGAATTCCTGAGGAACTTCATAACCTAAGAAGTAACTGGGGACTTAGAAAAACCATCAAGTATCAGAAAGGTAAAAACGAAAGCGTGATGTTTCAGGAAGGATGGAACAGGTTGTTCTTCCAATGCCACTAAAAGGCCATGAGACACGATGACAGAAAAGCAGCCCATGGGTATGTAAGAAGTGTGATCACTATTGAAGTGACAAAAATATTATGTACAGTGGTTTGAAAGAAAATGGCCCACAAAGAGAGTGGCACTACTAGGAGGTGTGCTCTTGTTGGAGGAGCTGTGTCACTATGGAGGCAGGTTTTGAGGTCTCATACATGCTCAGGTCACGCCTAAGAAGACAATTTACTTCATGATGATAATGGACTAAACCTCTGAAGTGTATGTGAGCCACCCCAATTAAATGTTTTCCTTACTGGAGTTATTGTGGCTGGGAGGTAGTGGCTCACGCCTTTAATCCCAGCACTAAGGAGGCAGAGGCAGGCAGATCTCTGTGAGCTTGAGGCCAGCCTGTATACAGAGTGAGTTCCCGGAGGACAGCTAGGCTGTTACACAGAGAAACCCTGTCTCAAAAAACCAAGAAAAAAAAAAGAGTTGCTGTAGTTCTGGTGTCTCTTCAGAGCAGTAAACCCTAACTAAGGCACTGTGAAATGGTGGGTATGGAAGTGGGTTAGACAAGAATGAAGACGAGGAGGACAAAGGTGAGGTGGCGGCAACAGCAGTGCCAGATTCCGTGGTGGAAGTTTACAAGGCAGGGAAACAGAAGTGAGGCAGAAGCTACAGAAGACAGGGTATCAAGGCCTGCCTGCTTGTCTCCCAAAAGTAGGATCTACTTGCAGGAGAATTCCTGGATTATTTTTTGATAACAATCTAGCAAATGACCTCCAACTCTACTTCTAACTTGGAACATTTACATTAAGTAGCAGAACTATGTCAAGGTAGTTTAAGTTGCCTTTAGATATGAAACAAGAAAATGTTACTTCTTCAATAACATCACAACTAAGAATAATTCTAGGGAAGCTCCCTACTTTAAAAAGGAAATCATTTTCTAAATTACAACACTTCACTCTAGAGAGAAACAGACAAACAGACAGACAGACATAGGTGGATAATGGCTATATAGATTTTAAAAAGATAAATCACACAAAAAAAATTACATGCCAAGTCTGGTACAATGGTTACAAAGATCATCAACCATACTATTTGAACAAGTTGTAATTTCTTAATGCTCAGTTATCTGCAACTTTCCATCAGCTACTTTTATCCATTTAAATATATATATGTAAATAAGGTAGAGCTTAAATTCTTTTTTTAAATGATTTTATTTTAAGTCCAATCTGTAGCATGATAAAATATCTTTAAAGGGGCTGACAGGATACAAAAAAAAATAAAAAATAAAAAAAAAATTCACTGTCTGTCAGATCTGCTACCACACAGGGAACTAGATGACGCCTAGCAGTTAACACTAACCTTCAGGCTGTAGACATACAATGACTCTAATGTAGCACCAAGCATCATTACAGCATAAGACAGTGCGTGCTCAAACTCAGAGTTACCAAGGCTGTAACTGGCAGGTGGTCCTCTTGTGACCCCACTAGGCTAAAGAAACAGGAAAAGCCAGGGATGGTCAGATGTTGTACTTGTAGCCTACCCAGGGCAGCAAAGGCAGGATGGTGAATTCAAGGCCTGCTGGGATAATTCTCCAAATCACAAGTCACTTAATAAAATTTCTACTTATTTTCCATCCTTAGCCCTGCATAGAATATGGACATTGATAAACAAAAAAATTCTGGTTAAAGTTAACTACTTCTAAGATACTTGCCCATTCTCTAAATAAAAACACATTCTCTAATAATGAAAAAACCTAAGAAAGTCTCACTCTGTAGACCATCTTGCCTCAAAGTCTTGATTCTCCTCCCTAGGTCTCCCCAAAGCTAAGATTATAGTTGCCTGCCATCATATGTGGCTAGAAAAAGAATTTTGAAGCCCACGCCACACCAAAGCACAGTAGATACAGCACACAACTCTATCTCTAGTTAAGTCAGCTCAGAGGGACCTTCTGTCACTGGCCAATCTACTAGGCTCCAACCATAACACCTTGCTAACTTCTTCATTGCACTTCCAACAACTGCTAAAGATTTATTTGCCTCATTTTACTTCCTGTCTTCCCACTGGAAAGAAAAACAGAAAACCAAGAATATTTTACCACCAAAGCATAACTAGTTTCTGTTCAAACAACTGGTAATACAAAAGGTAACCTCAAAATATTATTTAATTAATGTAATTAAATGCATTTTTAATGTATCAAAGTCATCTAAAAATGAGGTTCTATGTAAGTTAAATCATAGACTTTAACTGTCCAGCTATACAAGCTTACTTATTGGTTGTTTGGTTTTTTAATCAATTGATAAGGCTAATTACACTGATTTTTGAATGGTTAATCTTCCTTAAATATAAGAAAAAGCTGTTCTTGGGTATGTTCTGTGCTTTTACATATCTATTATTGAAGGCTTTTATAGTCATATCCATAAGATTCAAGTCCAGTTTTTCCTCTTATGGTTTGCCTTGTTTAGGTACCAGAGTAGTACTGGCCATATAACTGTTCCTTTTACATACACATACTAATATTTCTTCTTTCCATGAGCATCTCAAGAAGTGCCAAAAAAAATCACTTGAGGAAACCGAACATTAATTCATAATAAAAATATTTACAAATTAGGAAAACTGGGAACTTCTTCAGCCTGAGAAATCGTCTATGAAATCCCTGCCACACTTTAGAATGAAAGAGTAAATGCTTGCCGAAGTGAGATCAGAAAGAAGATACTTCAAATTCATACGTAAGATATGACCAAGTACAATAAGAAAAGGAAATAAAGGTATTTAAAATAGGAATAAGCATCTGACTGCAGAGAACACAACTGTCGGTACAGAAAACCCTCAAAGAACCTACAAAAAAAGGGAGAGGCACACTTGGATTTAGCAAGGTAGAGAATGTAGGCAGATTTTTAAATTAGATTTCTATATATAGCAAAGAACTCAAAAACAAAATTTTAAAGCAATACCATTTACAAGAGCACCCCAAAACCCATCAAATTTGTAGGTATCCAACAAAATTTTAAAGCAATACCATTTACAAGAGCACCCCAAAACCCATCAAATTTGTAGGTATCCAACTAAAATTTCCAAGAGCTATCTATGTGCTCAAACATTCAAACACCGATGAAAGAAATCAAAGGCCTAAGCCATGAGATAGCCACACCTCCTTCAGAGATTACAAGATCCAATGCAATAATGGCACATCCTCAACACACAGCTGTCCGCTGGACACATTCACCATCAGCGTCTGTGGAAACTGAGAGGGATCCTAAGATGTATCTGAGAGGTAACGTAATTAGAAAGGCACACTGTTAGAGTCCTACCATCTGAGAACTTAGCAAGCTACTACTAAGAGGACGACAGTGGTTAAGAAGAGACAGACAATGAACAAAAGATATTTACTTATCGGTAAAGTGTAAAAATTGTTCTCTTGATGAAGAAGATAAAATGTGTTAGGAAAAGAGATGACAGATTTCAAAAGGGTGAGAACAAAAGAGAGTTGACATTCTCAGGTAAGTGCTGGGTTTTAAACTTTGAACTCTGCACAGCCACCTGACCTAGGAGGTAGGAACTGAGATAGGAACAAAAACGCACAATAAAAGTCAAATAAGATACAGGGACTTGGGCCAGTGAGTAAAGGCTTTTGCCACCACCAAGGACTCAGCGGAGGGAAAGAGTGAACTGAGTCTAGAAAGCTGGCCTCTGAACCCCCACATGCCTGTCACCTATCCAAACACAAAATAAATAAATGCAGTAAAAATGTTTTGAAAAAAGACAAAGTATGTCGCCTCTAACGTAAAGCCTACCTGCTTTATATAAGAAATTTGCTAAAAAGCTTTGAAAACCAAAACAACATTCAAAAACAACACCACTAACGGGGGATGGCGAGATAGGGAGTCTTGAGACACAGTCTCAGTCCAGACTGGGCTGAAACTCAAAATTCTCCTACCTCAGCCTCCCACATGTTGATACTGTAGGCATGTGCCACGTTGTTTGGCCTCAAAAAACATTCTTTTAAAGTGGACGATAAATCTTTATCCTTTGGCGATGAGAAGGGAGATATTGGAAAAGAGCATGGTCAAAGGTGAACTAAATGTTGAGAGCAGAAGAAGCAGGCTAAGGCAATACATACTTGTGCAAATAAAAAATTATCACTAATAGGTGTTTCCTAATTAGGGAGCTAAAGCATCCTCACTTGCCACCCCCAGCCCCAATCTTCAGTGCAGGTGGCCAAGAATTGCAAGACAATTAAACCGGGCTTTGTACGGCACAAAAGGCAAAAACTACATGGTCCACATCTTACAGACTGGAAGAGAAAGGGGGCGTGGCAGGGAAGAGAAGCAACTTGATGGGGCAAGAGAAGATTGCTGGAAGGTGATTTCATTGTATGGGTTGGTGGATGGAATTACCAGAACTGGGTGGGCAAGTTTACGAAGCCGGGAGTCAGGAAGTGTTGGCAAATTAGTCACCTAGAAGGGACAGGGGCTGGGAGCATGATGAAACGCAACAGCAAGGAGTCAAACCAGGAGGGAAGAGGAACGGGGGGGGGGGGGGGGGGGGGAACCAAGGGAGCGTCAAGCAAACCTCAGACCCCCAAGGCCCGGGCAGCGTTGGTGACTTGGGGTCCGGCAGAGGGACACAAGAGCACGGGCATCTCCAGGAGCCAGGTGGTGGCTTGAAAGGGGCGGAGCCGCCCACAGCCATAGACCGGGCGGGAGGGGGGGAGGGGGCTCCCGGGATGAGATCCCTGAATCCTCGGGGATGCAGAGGTGAAGGCCAGCAGCGAGGAGGCTGGCGGCGAAAGCAGAAAGGGCTCCGGGGTCCGGGGTGACAGACACCGCACTCACCTGGTTGGTGACCTGAAACGAGACAGAAGAGGGTTTAGGGACGCGCGCAGGCGAACCGGCGCCGGCCTCCCGACTCGCTCGGTCCCCGGCTGCGGCTCCCGACAGCGCTCACCTCGGGGTTGGCCTCCAGCGGCAGCCAGCGCTGACCCTCCATGACGACTCCGCCGGCCGCTCTCCAGCTCTGACAGCGGCCGCCGCCGCCGCTGCCGCTTCCGCCCCCGCGCGCTCCGGCCGGCACCATCCAAACGCCACCGCGCGGGGGGAGGTCAACGAGAGGAGGTCCCCAACCTCGGGCTCTCCGCCTCGTCCTACGGAGACGCCAGTAGGATATCTCTGTTTAAGTTAACGTGCAGAAAAAACGTGAGGAATATGATCTGTGTCACATTTCACGAGGAAAAGAAAGCCAGAATCAACAGTGACGTCCCCCTCGCACTTGGACTCTCCCTGCCCGTGCGAGCACCCCGAGTTTTACGCATGCGCCACATGCTGACCTGGGCCGCGTGCTTGCTGGCGCTCTCACTTTCGTGCAATGCCAACCAGAAACTCTAGGGGACGCGTCACGGAGTCCCACTCGGAGGTTGGGATGGGTTTGCTAGCATTAAGGCAGCCAAGCCAGAGGTTGACTCCTTGGAATCATGGTTCCCTTGCTTCTTTGTGAGGATACTGAAATGATATATTGGCTTTGCCAGCTATCTCACTGCCGGAGAGACAGGTAATAGGCAGGTGATCGATATAGGTGATAGGTAGCTAGACACTCAGTTCTGCTTGAGAAACAATACGGAGCCTCTACGAAAGATGAAACAATGTACTAAATGTTGGTACAAATGGAAGGACTTTAAACAGCATTTTCAATGTACCTTCTCCTTCCCACTAAATTTCGGGATTCCAGATGTAATAAAATTTTCATTTTCTTCACATATTTAGGGTTTGACTCAATGGCCAGTGCGTAGTAAATTCTCGAAGAATGTCTGAGGAATGACGCTGGAGAAGTAGTGGAATGGTACCACCTGTCTAGCGTGCATGAAGCCCTGGGTTCCATCTCAGTATCACAAAGGGGAGGGGAAGAGCATGATTGCAGATGCAGAAATACCATCTATCAATTACGTGTAGAAGAGAAAAGTTTGCACAATTAAGGTAGCAATTCTTGGGGACAAGGAGGCAGATGCAGATTACAAAGATATCATTACAAGGAGAAATCCTTTTTGATATGTAGGAGTCCAAAGTCATGACTACAGAATTTTGACCTGACATATTACTATTCTGATTCCAAGAAAGGGAATTCAGGGAGAGATTAGTTAATAAGTGGGGGAAATGTTGTTATACTGAAATTGTCTTTCTTGGGGAATTTCCAACTTTAGTCTCCCACACATGTTCTGGCTATTATTTTTATACCTCGATGGCTTTTCCAATCCTTTGACTCCTTCCTATTTATCTGATGCCTTGTTGCAGTATCTGCCCAACTTCGTGACTTGGTAAATCTGGCAATGTCTGGTTAATGGATCTGCTGCGGTGCTTGCCACGTTCTCAGTCTCTGCTGAGGCTGGTTGGCTTGCCAGGGGAGTTACCAGACCACTTCTCTTGCTCCAGAGTCCTGAGGTTCTATACCGTGTCTCTCCTCTTACTGCCTGGCTAGTACTCCACACAACATCCTCATCCACTTTCCATGAGAATTTCTTCCTGAGTAGACATAGGCCATGTTTGCCTCCCTATGAGATCCCAATTGCAAAACAAATACAATCCCACCCAATTTTACCTTGGGAAAACAACGAGATTGCTTGGCTCAGCTACAGAACATGGAGGAGGAATTGTTGGCAGGAGCATAGTGACCACAAAGCATCAACCCTGGAGGGTCTTCACCAAACAAGGATGATGGCAACATGCCTTTCACCTTAGGAAAGTTGTCCTAGCACCCCATAGAACTTCAGACTCCCCCAAAACCATACAAATATATCTGACTTCTAATCTCCTTTTTTATTGTTTGTTGTTTGTTGAGACAGATTTTCTCTCTGTAACATTCTTGACTGTCCTGGAACTCGGTCTGTAGACCAGGCTGGCCTCGAACTCACAGAGAGTTGCCTGCCTCTGCCTCACTAAATACAAGATGGGGCCCATGATTTAGTACCATTGCACCCAGTGTTTAAGCTTCCCACTGTCTACATCCTTCGCCATATGGCTTTGGGATTTTTTTTTTCTCCCAGGGGACCAAATTCTGCCCATTTGCTTTATTTATTGATTCTGGGTTTTGATTTCTTTCATCTTGCAAAGACTAATTTGCAAATCCACCACTAACACTGCCCATATTTTTGCAGTCAGTCACAGACATGTACAGACCTCCCCCACCCCCTGTATGAGGTCCCACTTGTGCCTGGTGGTATATGCCTGCAACCCCCAGCACTTGAGAAGTCAAGGCAGGAGAGTCGTGGTGAGGAATGTCCTAAGTAGAACAAGCTGGGGCTGCTCCTTAGCGAGTTCCAAGTTAGTGGAACTTAGTGTTAGTTATGTAGAGAGACACTGTTGGGGGGGGGGAGTGAGAAACAGGGAAAAAGAGAGAGGGAAAGGCAGAAGACAGAGGTGAGACGGGAAGAAAAGACAGAGAGCAAGGAAGAAAGAGGGTCATTCCCCTAGTAATCTATATCACCCTAAAGCCCACTCTGCATACTTTTTTCACCAGCAACAATCTTATGTTATGCCAAATCACAATATAATCTTCTAAAAGACACTTTAATTGGCAATTAAACGTAATACCTTCAGAGTCTGTGATTCTCATAACTCAAGAATCATGTGGAAGAGCTATGAACGAGGTCATGCTTGCACAAACAACTGAGTCACAGTGCCACGTAGGTAACCGTCAGCAGAACTGATGAGCAGCAACAGGTTTTTGGAGATTTTTAAATGTATAATTAAAATTTTTTAAGAATTGATGAATATGTCTGGGTGCAGTGGCATGCACCTGTTACCAACCCAGCAGCTTAGAGGCTAAAGCAAGAGAATTGCAAGTTTGAAACCAGCCTGAACAACATGCAAGTTTATCCTGCCTCAGGAAGGTAAAAAAAAAGGAATGAATGAAATTCAATATTTTTCAACACTTGTCCTAAGTTTAGCACAATGGTTGTAATCAGCCCAGATTCAAGTCCAACTCAACTGTCCCAAGGGGATCAACATCTCTTTTTAACTACATTTAACTTCAACCCATTCATGGCATGCCACCTTGACTATTCATTATCCTATATTACTTTTATTAATAAGAAATGGTTTCAGCTGTCCTTCTGATGCACCTGTAGTGCCCTGTCATCTGACTTAATCCTGGGTTGTACGGCCAAACCGTCAATTTAAACACAGCCTTGCAAGTAAAAGCACGCCGGTATTACACAATGATGACACCTGTGCCCAATATGCAGCAATAATCCTCAACACTTGATCATGACTACCAGAAAATGACTGCGTGTCCATAAGCCCGACAATTCACCTCTTTATATCACACCTTTGAAAGTGTCTCTAGCTAGGAAACTAGGAAGACAGCTAAGTAGGTACGGTGTTGCTGTGCAAACATGAGGACAGGACCAGAGTTCAAATGTCCAGTACTCAAGTAAAAAAAATGGTGTTAACCTTATATGGTGGGCCACTCCTTTAGTTATAGTGCTTAACATGAAGAGACCAACCTAGTCTACATAGCCAGTTCCAGGCTAGTCTGAGCTACATAGTGAGATATTGTCTCCAAACAAAAGAAAACAGAAAAAAACCACCTGGGATGTTGTGGTGTGCACAGTTGTAATCCCAGTGCTAAGGAGGCAGACACAGGACAATCCTTGGAACTCGCAGGCCAGCTAGTCTCACCAAATCAATTAGCTTCATGTTCAGTGAGTGACCCTGTCCCAAAAAATAATCCAGTGGAGAGCAATAAAGAAAAATAGCCAACATTGATCCCTGGCCTACACACACACACACACACACACACACACACACACACACACCTAAGCACATATCAAACACAAACCAAACAAACTATGCTCTTCCCTTTAGCCAAAGGTTGACGACTGTGATGGTTAGTTTTGTCAGCTTTACAAAAATGTAGAATCTCTCTGGGGTGAGGGGGCAGCCATATAGCCAGATCTGTGGGAGACTATCGTAACGACCTTCATTAAGGCAGAAAGACCCATTCCCCCATGGGGGCCATCTTTCCCTAGGTAGTGGCTTCTGGACTAGCATGCCTGCATTCACTCTTTCTCTGCTGCTTGGTATGGGAGTGATGTGAGCAGGTGTGTTCAACTCCGGACACTTCACTGCTCCCCACAGTGAGAGACTGCCACGTGGAAGTGTGACACTCCACTGCTCCCCACAGTAAGAGACTGCCATGAGGAAGTGTGAGCCTTCTCTCCCTCAGTTGCTTCTGTTGAGTAACAGAGGAGAACCGATGACAATTGGATGTCACCATTTTTACGTGAATGATTGATTGGCCAGGTAAAATTTCCGTGTTTATAGAACAGTTCATTTTGTTTTCATTGCTGCTGTTTTATTATGTGGGTTGGTCAGATTTGGCTCAAAAGCTAAGAATTTTAAGCCTTTCTTTAAGCTATGAAAACCCTTAGCCTGCTAGGAATATTAATTGTGTCTAGCTCAGGGTGTCCATCTTTGTTTATGTTAGCCGCTGATTACACAACATATAGCTCATATTCCTGAATAGCCTGAAGCATAGCATTCAATCCCCAGGGATCACTGGAGGATTCCACGGGGCACACTGGGGCTTTGGAATCTCTCTGGAGGCCTCTGAGGTTAGAGCTTCAACTGTGTGTTACGCACACTGCTGGTAGTTTTACTTGGGAGCTAACTGTTTAGCACACCAGGACTTCTGTTTCCTTGTGTTTAAAATGAGGAGGAGGAGGTATGCTTCAGACAGATGACAGACTTTGGAAGTCTGGGGATTCTGGTGATGACAGAAACTGCCAGTGTTTGTTCAGAACTGTGGCACAGAGGAACTTTGCTGTGTCTACATACGTGATCTCATTTACACACTCAAATGAAACATTGAGGAACATTAGTAGTCTTCTCTTTATAGACAGGAAAGCTAACACTCAGAAAATCTAACAAGTCACCCAGCAGAATGATGGAAAGGGACCTCAGTTGGGGTTTAAAGGGTTCTAAAGACCCAGTACATCAGTAACAAATCGCCTTGTTGGTTTCCTACAGTTACTGTAGTCAGTGTGTGTAGCTTTAGAGGGGCTTTTTAAAAAATGTGTGTTTGTGCCAGGCCATGGCGGTGAAAGCCTTTAATCCAAGCACTCAGGAGGCAGAGGTGGGCCTCCTCTGTGGGTTTGAGACCAGCCTGGCCTACAAGAGCTACTTCCAGGACAGGCTTCAAAGCTGCAGAGAAACCCTGTCTTGAAAAACCAAATAAATAAACATTTTTTTTTAAAAAAATGTGTTTGTGTACCACCCTGTGCATGTTTCTTAGAGATCAAAGGTCAACTGGAGGTAATCATCAGATATCTTCCTTAGTTGCTACCTCTGTTTCTGAGACAGCATCTCTCCCTGAATCCGGCCCTCAGAGATTTGAGTAGACTGACTCAGAGGGCAGTGTGCCCATCAATCCTCTTGCCTCTGCCTCCCAGTGGTGGATTTACAGCTGTGTCCTATGATGCTTGTCTACTTTACATAGGTGGTGGGGATCCGAACTCGGGTCAAGTGCTTATGTAGCAAGGCCTTTACCAATGGAGCCATCGCTGCAGCCCAGAACTTCAGGGCTTTAAGCAGCAAGAATTTATTATTCTACAGTCTGAACGTAAAACTTCTGAAATAGATATTACTGGACTGCAAAGTATCCAGAGGGCTGTATTCATAAAATCTATGTGGGAGAATCCATTTTCTTTCTTATTCTGGCTTCTGGAAGCTGCCAGCCTTCTTGGCCCCTTAGCCCCTTCTCTGTGTATGAACCCAGCAAATGGGGGAGTCTTTCTCACACTGTTTCACTCTGACAAACTGCCTGTGCCTACAGCTCATCACCTCCACCCTCGCGATGAAGGACACAGGTCATCACATTGCTCACACCTGAGTAACCTGCTTAGCAGCCGATGTGTGGTTTTAATTCCCACATGTGATGTAAGGTAACTTATTCACAGACTGTGGATCAGGAAGTAGATATCTGGGAGGATTTTGACCGCATTCACTGATAAAGCAGGGTAATACTGTATGATACAAGAAATATGTTTAGGAGACCTCCAGTTTTTGTTTGTTTGTTTCTCTAGCATCTTTTCATCTAAGTTGGGTTGAATCGTCCTTATCTCTCCTGCTGGTGATATCGTTTGTCTCTGGTACACTAGTGGCTTTTCCAATCACATAAATATACCCTTTATAGTACACACCATGGGCCACAGAGCAGACAAAAAGTAATGCAATTTCACTTAGCATTAGTTCAAGGAGTGGGTGACTCTGTAGGTTAATCAGTCTTTCTTTCAGAACTGAAATTCAAGACCCGTTTCCTCTTTCCCTTTGTGCTTCCTCTGTCCCCTCGGAATATTAGTCATAAGGCTGGGACTCCAAAGACACCGGCCATCCATGTCTATATATGTATCCTCTTCCCCCCCAAACAAGTGGAAAAGACAAAGAAAATGGAGTCCAGGAGCAAACAAGAGGCCAAACCAGGCCCGAGAACCAAGAGAATGGGCTTTTTGCTATGCAACTCTCGAAACTCACGCCAGTGAGTTCCTCCCTTCCAGTTCAGAGGCCACAGCTGTGAGAGAATAGTTCCTGCTAATTTGCTTAGACTATTTGATTCAGATTTGTATCACTGGGCATTTAAAAAGAAACTAAAACTTAATGCTTAAATAGGAAGAAATGTCTTTTGGTTTCCTCCATTCCCCTGGAACCTTCATTACCTCAAGAGTTCATGACATATAGCACTGTGGACTTCTTCTTATTTGGGACTGAGGAGTTTTTTGAAAATGCTCTTAAAGGTATAACCATGTGTGTATAATTTTGGCAATTTTTTTTACTTCATAAAAATCTTGTATTTTTACGTTTTTAACTTTGGATGTGTGTGGGAGCAGGGGTCAGAGGATAACTCATGACAGTCAGGTCTCTTATTCCTCTGCGTGGGTCCTGAAGATCACTCTCAAGTAGATAGGCTCAGTGGCAAGCTCTTTGACCAACTGAGTCATGGTGCAGGCCCCAAATCTGTATTTTATAAGTGAGAGTCAAATGCAAATTATATTATCTTATAAGATATAGACCTGAACATAGCAGTTTGGCATGTGTTTATTATAACATGAAAGAACATGGATTTGTAGACTGGAGACTTTCTGAAGGACCATGTCAGGAGAGTTACAGGTTCATCATAGTCAGTGGAGAGCATTAGTGTGGATGTCCTCATACCATAGGCATGATTGGGTCTTGAAGGAAGAGCCTTCATTTCCAGTAGGACAAAGAGAATGTCTGCATCTTACAAGTTTTCAGGAGCCGGGTGGGGCAGGAAGGGGGCAGAAGGAGTGTCAACTGCAGAGGAAGTGATCTAGCCTAGCCTAGCCTTTGTAGGAGGAGTCACAAGGCAGGGAGGCCACAGATAAGTAAACTTGTTGTTCAAGGCTGTCTTAAGGGGGGGGGGGGGGGACACGACGACTTCAAGGCCAAACAGAAGCAGTTTTTATCAGGTCTATGTATCTATGCGTCATCAGAGAGCCCTTAGGGACCTGTGGCCTGATTTCATAGAGAGAGTGAGAGGACAAGGCAGAGGAGGGTCTGTGATCTAACAGGTCTCTGGAGCAACAGATTATTATTATTTTTTTAATGTCGACACAAAAACACTGCTCTCATCTTAAAGGGAATAAGAGACTTTATTCTGGAGCCTTTTTGAGTGACCATAGCCGGGAACACAGATTTAACTTAACCCAACTTCCACATTCAAACATGGAAACAGTTTCATGAAGTTTTTACAGGGTTACAGAACAAAGTCATAAACTAAGGCAAGTCTAAAATACATTGATGGGCTGGGAGGTGGTGGCACCTTCCTTTAATCTCAGCACTCGGGAGGCGGAGGAAAGGGGTCTCTGTGAGTTCAAGTCTAGCCTGGCCTACAATGTGAATTTCAGGACAGTCAGGGCTACATAAAGAAACCCTATCTTGAAAAACCAATAAATAAACAAATAAATAATAAAATAAAAATAAATACATCAATGGGTACACCAGAGAGACAGGTACAGAGAGCATGCAGGCCGCAGCTCTAGGTGTTTGCTGTATTTTCGTTAACTAGTACAATTCAACTGTGTGAGCTGTCTGGTGATAGGTAGAACTCTAAAGATGTTCAGCCCGCAAAGAGTCTCATCTCTATTCAACAGCTCCAGGTACTACTCAGAAAATGTCATTTCAGTACTATACCGTAAAGCTTCCGGGAGTTAGTCTGAAACATTTGGGGATGTCTTATTGAATCATTTGAATTCTTTAAAACAGCGAACGTATGTAGGCGGAGACTGCTCATTCATTTTCCGGCCACCCAGACTAGAAAATAACCGCACAGAAGCTCTACTAAATACAATACTGTTTGGCCAATAGCTTAAGCGTATTTCAAGCTAGCTCTTACACCTTGAATCAGACTATTTCTAGCAGAGTAGGAATTGGCTGGTTAGGTTACCAAACATGAGGGAGACATGTTCTATTACTTGCTTTGGAGAGGCAGCAAGTACACAAAACCATGGGTGTGAATAGTCATGAAAAGCAGAGAATCTCTAAAAAAAAAAAAAACCCAGCAAATACAGAAACTGCATGAAACTGAGTGCTGCCAACAACTTAGATGAGCTTAAAAGCAGATTCCACCTCAGGTCCTTGAGGGAGCCTTACCTGAGGAGCTTTAGATTAGGAACTAAAGGGAACTGGAGTCCTTGGCTGTATTCTGATTGTGGGCAGGGTAGGTAATCAATGTTCGAATGTCATTGGAGCAAGGTGGGTATGGTGTCTGTCACCCCAGCACTCTGGTGGACGAGGCAGGAAGACTGCTGAGCTATGGAAGCCAGCATGGGCTGCATGATGAGCAGACTACAGAGGGAGTCTCTTTTTCAAAAAATAATATATATATATAATATGTATATATTATATATAAATATTTAATTTAGTTTGTGGCTAGATTGTTCTTTGGAGGTAAGTGCTCAAGTATTTAGGGATGCAATACTCCTTATTATGTATAGTCTGCGTTAAAGCAAATGCGTAAAGCAGTGACCGTTGATAAATGTGGATGACACATGTACGAATTTTTATGTGAAAATATTTTCATTTTTCTAAATAAAATGCTGGCATGGGAATAAAAATTGGCGTGGACATTCTGTGAAGAATGCATCGGCGGTCTGCTGAAATCGGGTTGAAATCTGAATAAAGGCAGCAGAGGTTTTTGCTTTTTTAAGGCATTTCGCTCCATCCTTCCATCATCGGGCTAGGCCAAGGATGAGAATTCGCCAGACAATTGCAGTTAAAGTCACACAGCACAGCAAGAACCATGCAAGGGGGTGTGGCCGCATCTCCAAGCCTTTCCACAGGATCGCTGACTGGAGTCGCAGGCTCCCAAGCACAGTCACTTTACGCTTGCGCACAGACGAGCCCATTCCTTTCCCGACCGTGGGGGAGGCGACATCCTAAGGGTTATTCATCCTCCACTAGGTTTCCTCCGCGTCCTTGGCCTTTCTCCTCACCGATCCTTTCCTCAACCCAGTATATCCTAAAACTGATGTTTGCTTGAGACAAGTCCAAAATTTCTTGAAAATTTACTTTTCTCGTTCTCCCTAGAGTAGGCTGGGCCGGAAGCGGAAGTGTCTGTGAGTTCCAGTCTGGCCATGGAGGATTCTCCGTTCAGGGAACCGGTGCTGGACGCCAAATCCGAGGTACATTCGGCCTGGGAGAAGGGGCTGGGGCGGACAGTGGTGCCGGGAAGGCTTTTCTCTGAATCGTGTTTCTGCTTCTGTTCCAGGTCACCTGCCAGGTGAGTGGACGCCCCATGCTGTCGCGCTGCGGCGTGCGGTCCCCGCCCCTTTTCGTGGGTCCTTCCCCGGGCTGCGTTTTCCCATTGGACTGGACAGTGTAATTTAGGCTGCTCTGCCCAGAAAGTGCTGTGCAAGCTTTGTTCCAACGTACTTAGTCAGCCTTTATTCCAAGGTAGGAATATGGTGTTTTAAAACATGAGGGTTACACGAGCAATTATTTACTAATGTTTGCCAAGATAGCTCCCTTCCTTTTCCTTTAACTTTTTGTTTTTTGTGTTGAGACAGAATCTCACCGACTAGCCAGGAACTTTTCTAGTAAGACCTGATTGGCCTTGAACTTTCGCCTCTGCTTCTGAAGTGCTAGGATTAAAGGCATGTATCACCAAGCCAGCCCAGCCATTTCTCCTAAGAAGTTATTTTGAAGATGAAGTATAAGTTTTCTAATCTTTCCTATTTTACATTAGGAATAAAAAAATTGCCTTTCTAAATTAATAATAACACTTGTCCGAGAAAGTCAGAGAAGTGGAGTTTTGGACCAGGAGTTGCCTAAGTTCACATAAAATATAAGGACGTGATGACGTGAAAGCATGCTAAGAGTGAAGGGGCTGGTAACACTTAATTTTAATCTCATTTTTAAATTTTCATGCTCTTCACTAAACTGTTGCGGCTTGTAGCTCACACTGTCCTCGAATGTGTGATTCTCTAGCCCCAGCATCCCGGGTAGCTGGATTTACGTGCCCTGGCTTACCTTGCTGTTGCTTTTGAAGGCACCTGGGATACCGATAAGCCTGCTTGTCTTTGCATGCATTATATGAATTAGTGGTCCTGTCTCGAAAATTCAAAAAAAAAATATATGAGTTAATGGTGCTGCATTGTTTTGAGATTTCTTTTTTTATATGTCTGTATAACTTGTGGGTCACTGGAGGCCAGAAGAGGCCTGGATTCTTTGGGATTGGAATTATGAATTGTGAGCTGCCATGTAGGTGCCGGAAACCGAACCTGGGTCCTATGCTAGAGCAGCAAGTGCTTTTAACCACCGAGCCATCTCTTCAACCAGAGTTAGCTGAGTTGGAATCATTGTCATTATTCATCTTCAGGAATTATTTTGTCCATTCACTTTGCATTATGTGTTTTATTAAAGATGCCCTGAGACTGACCTGTACTGGGCTATAGGTTTTTATTTGTTTTATGGAAATTTTCTACCCCAAAGCAACATAAATCTATCACTTACACTTCTGCAAGTCAGAAGTGTGAAACCAGAGTTTTGGGACCAAAGTGAAGGAAGGTTTGGGTATGAGTGGAGGGAGGGTCTCTTGTTTGTTTTTTCCTGTTCTTAGCTGCCTCCTTTCTTGGTTTGTGGACAGTGCCCGGTCCCAGCCACTGCTCCCTCTTCTGATTCTGACCCTCTTGCCTTCCTTCTACAAAGACTGATTACATTGGGCTCACATCCAGGGACTTGCATCCCATGGTCTTAATTTCGTTACATCCTTAATGCTTGCTTTCTCGCTTGGAGAAAACCTCTGTGGTTAGGACATGGGCTCATCCGAATGACCTGTGTGCTGTAATCTCTTCCACACAGTGATTCTCTGGTGATTGGTCATGTGATTAAATTCATAAGAAAAGCCACGATAATTGACAAGGCTATTAGGATCAATAATGAGTTTAGAAATATCATTCAGTTTGGTTTTTTTGGGGAGGGGGTGCAGTTCTTTGCATGCTCAGACACAAAGAGCTGAAAAATATAATTTTAAACAAGTTTTACACTTTGAATTATACAGTAGATTATACAGTAATTATACAGGAGATTGCAAATAAATCCACCAAGTTGGCATGGGTGCCTTTTAATCCCTGCACCTGGGTGGCTGAAGCAGGAAGGTCGCTACAATTGTGAAGCCAGTCTGGGCTTTGCAGAAAAATCTTGGATCTAAAACCAAAACAAAACAAAACTAAAAATCAAATAACAGATAAAGGCAAACGCTAGTGAGCTGTTTTGCAACTTTATGAGGAAACTCATAGGACCATCAAGGCGGCTCACTGGACTAATTAAAGGTATTTGCTACCAAGCTTATTGACGTGAGTCCAATCCCTGGAACACATGGTGAAGCAGAGAGTAAACTCAATTCAAGTTGTCCTTTGACCTCCACGTGCCCAAGTGAATACAAGTTTTTAAAAAGTTTTTTTTTTTTTTTTTTTTTTTTTAAATTGTGAAAAGCAATGAGTCCAGCATGTAGGAACCTTGGGAATTCTTACTTGGTCCTAATAATTAAAAACTGGAAAGTCAGCAGCTCTTCCTGTGTCTGTCACAGAAGTTTGTCGCAAGGTATACATTAGTTCACTGCAAAAGAAAATCAGCCAGTCAGCACGTATGCTTTGGTTGCCAGGCATCCTCTCGTGTTTGTAAGTAAGACAGTCAAATCCTTGGTGTCAGTGTCCAGAGCTGCCTTTATCCAGTTCTGTTTGATGCCATGGCAACACTGAGGAAGCATCATCAGGAGCTAGATTAAAAACACAGTAGTCATTAAGCTTTTAATCTTTACAGTCAAACAGACATGGGCTTCTGTTCTCGTTTCTGAGGTGAGTTACCCAGAGCCCATCACCTAAGCTCTCTGAAACTGGGTTCTGTCATCTGCAAAATGGAAATTATAACCTATAAAACTGTGGTGACTCAGTGAGGCACTGAGCAGGTGACCGCTGCACAACACGTCCCCTGGCATGTGTCCGTCACGAGGACTGATGGAATCTAAAGCCTGGCCTTCACCACTCATTCTAATGGTAGGTTTGAGCTTGACACTGAAGGGAGGAAACAGCCGGGATGGTTTCCTTGTGTGCCTCGGGCACTCCTGACGACCATGGCACCCATCTTCTGTTTTAGGACTTGTGGGGCATGAGCAGGATGAAAGGTTAAAACATGCTCATTTGGTGTGCCGTAGTAGAGAAGTTAAGCGTGCTACAAAAAGCCACTTTCCCCATCTTTATGCATCTGCTAGACACTTAGGTTCCTTTGTTTGACATTTTCCTTTGTCCACTTGTTTTCCGGTCCTGCTTGTGCCCTTTGTTTTCTTCATTGCCATTTGACCATTTTTTGCCTACCAGCGTAAATGAATCTGTTTCCAGGCACTGTGACCAGTACTGAAACCAATACAAGACGGAAGACAGAAATTGCGTATTGTTTCTCACATGATGCTTGTGCTGCTGTGTTAAAGCTTGTAGATTTTCAGTGGAAACTGGGCATGGCTGTGAGCTCTGACCGCTGCAGATCCCTCAAGTACCCGTATGTGGCTGTGAAGCTCAAAGTGGCAGATCCTTCTGGCCAAGTGAACACCAAGTCCATCGAAATGACAATCCCACAGTTTCAGGTTTGTAGTGTAACTCACTGAATTTAAGTTGTACTGCTGTTTCAAAAGCTGTATACAGTCTTTCTTAACAGAAAATGTTTATTTATTTACTTACAAGTTGATGTACTTTAGATCGCACTAAAAAGAAAAACTGAAGTTGTTTTCTCTGAGAGTTTGCTAAGTTTTCCCAGTAAGATGCGCCGATTTGTGCATAGTGCCCTTTCATTGCTGTAACAGTTTTTGACCAATATATTTAGGAATACTTCATCTTCTCTACAGGATATTTACTCTGTAATTAACTTTTTATTGTTTTTATGTTTAATAATAATTTTAAGAAAAAGTAATCTTTTTTTGGCTAGCATTGGGTTTGTTGACTGCTTACAAAATGCAGCTCAGGGCTAATACATATTGATGAGTCTTACTAGCTAGAGATTTCAGTAACTCGGTAGTTTATGCTTAAACTTAGGGCATTCATATTATCGTTTTATTTACCTTCTATCCAAGGAAGAGAACAGAAGTGTCTAGTTAGGGGTTTCATTGCTGTGAAGAGACACCATGGCCACGGCAACTCTTATAAAGAAAACATTTAATTGGGGCGGCTTTCTTACAGTTTCTCACGCTTAATCCATTATCATGATGGGGAGCATGGTGGCATGCGGGCACACATGATGATGGTTACATCTTGGGTTGCAAGCCACAGGAAGTCAACTTACTGTCATTCGAGGGAAGCTTGAGTAAAATAGACCTCAAAGCCTGCCCCAACCTCGACACACTTCCTCTAGCTTGGCCATATCTTCTAATAGTGCCACTCCCTTTGGGGGCCATTTTCTTTTAGACCACCATGGGGAGTGAACACTGTCTAATTTCCTTTTGAATGTATATTATGAGAGATGCCTATCGTTAGCTGATTTAACTAACGGTGTGTACAGTTTGGTTTGGTTTGCTGTGAGCCCTTCAGTAGCTGAAGCAGCTCTCAAAGGAGAGTTGAGCACTCCAGAAAGCACCATAGTGAATGAACTGGAAGTAAAAGCTTCATTTTTGAAGACTATTAAAAACTGCATTGGTTCTGGGCTTCCTTTATTGTTGTTTGTTCACTTGGGGTGTATGGAGTGTTTTGTCTGCCTATGTATCTGTGTACCATATGCACGCACTACCCACCGAGGCCAGAAGAGGGCATCAGATCCCATGGACTGGAGTCTCAGACAGTTGTAAATGGCCGCGAGAATGCTGGCAGTGGAACCCAGGTTCTCTGGGGGAGCAGGTAGTGCTGGTGACTGTGGAGCCTTCTCTTCAGCCTGCCCTTCTGTTTTTGTGTGTGGATGATGTGGGATCACACATGTGCTTGCTCACGTGAGGTAGGTGCTCTACCTCTAAGCCAAGGCTTCTGGAAAAGTCTTCCACATACCATTGTATGACCTTCGAGTTCCTCTTTATAAACTGTATTTTAAGGGCCTCTTGATAGACAAGACTGCACACATTTATTCTTAATGATGCTGATAGGCGTCTGAAGGAATGGGATGTGAGGAAAGGTAGTGTGTAGTTATGGACGGAATGGGAAAGCCAGATTAGCCTCAGACATTCCAGTCGTTCACGGGTGCAGGCTCTTTCTTCATCTGCAGGGCGTTTCTATGGAGTTTTTCTTCAGGAGTAAATAAATTAGCAAACAAATCACCTTATCTCTGAAGCATTGCTGAGGTATAATTGATAAATAAAAATATGTTTTCAGTGTATACAATGTGATTTGGTAAGAATATATGTTGTGCAGCGACTTTTCATGAAGGTAATTATCGTGTGCGTTTCCACGTTGTTTGTATAAATGTATGTGCACTGAGAACATTTAAAATCGACTCAGAATCTCAAATATGCTATTAATCATACTCACTGTTCTGTACGTTAGGTCTTCAGAACTTTTATAGCTAAGTTAGTACCCCTAGCCAACATTTTCACTTTTTCCTCACCCCTAGCATCCGACAACCACATTCAATTTTCTGTATCTGAAAGTTCAATATTCCTTTTGGCTTTTTGAGACAGGGTTTCTCTGTAGCTTTGGAGCCTGTCCTGGAACTAGCTCTTGTAGACCAGGCTGGCCTTGAACTCTTAGAGATCTACCTGCCTCTGACTCCAGAGTGCTGGGATTAAAGGCCCACCACCACCGTCCGCCCGGCTGAGTTCAACATTCTTAATATAAGTGAGATCATATAGTGTCTATCTTACTGTGTCTGGTTTGTCTTTACCATAGTGTCCTCTGGGTTCACTGTGTTGGAAATGGCAGGATTTCTTTTTTTATAGCTGAGTGATTCCATTGTATGTATGTGCCTATATGCATACAGCATGACAGATAGTGGCCACATATATGTGAATACGTGTAAGGGATTTGAACAGCTGTGGATTTTGCTCTCCGTGGTCGGCCTTCTGAGCCAGGATCCGGAGGATACTGAGACACCTGCAGAAGTTATGTACATGTTTCATGTTTTCTTTGGGAGGCGGTTCTCCTGTTTGTTATTTAGATATGGGCTTCTTGAGGTTTGTCTCAGGTTTGCAGTGCCTTCTTGTCTAGGTATGTTTGTTTCTCAGTGATCTTCACTTAGGATGTAACATTAAAATGCAAACTATGTAAATAGACTGAAAAAGTAAAATTAATATTTTCCCCTTTTCCTCCAGAATTTCTACAGACAGTTCAAGGAAATTGCCGCTGTCATTGAAACTGTGTGAGGACAGATTCCGAAGTAATGGACTCTACCTTCCAGAAGAGAACTGCATATGGAGGAAAGATATTTATGCAATGAAAAGTGCACTTCTGGGACTAGATAGGTGGCTCAGAGGTCAAGAGCACTGGTTGCTCTTCCAGAGGACTCAAGTTCAATTCCTGGTAACCACATGATAACTCACAACTGCCTATAACATTAGGACCAGGGAGTCCTGCACCCTCCCATAGGTGTCTATGCCGGCAAAGACAAATGGGTAGAAAATTAAAAATTAAAAGAATTTCACTTCCCAATTTTTTCCCCAGTTTTAAAAAAAAAAATTGATAAACTCAAATTTTTCAGTGGTCACCAATGCTTTGCCTTTTCAATGAGTTAAAAGTCTCTGTGTTGAATATTAATATATGTATGTGTAATTATATCTCAACAGATGAGTAAATGATACTCTTAAATGCAGCACTCTTAAATGTATATCGGGAAATTTTTAAATCTTATTGATACAGATCTAACTTTATGAATAAAAGCTTGTATATGAAGGTTAAAGCTGCTTTACAAATTCAGTTTTATAACATTCCCTTTGAAATAATTAAAGGAATTACTTACAGAATTAGTGCGAAGAATGGGATCTCATTCAGACATTTGTAACCCGGTTAAGGTAAACCAGTCCCTGTGTTATCAGAGTAGCGCACTGTTTCTGCTATTTGTAGAAAATTTATCAGGACACACTCAGAGGTGATCCTGTTCCATCTTGTCTGAAGGTCAGAGAGTTTGAGCTCATTTTTGCTCTTTCAAATGTGGTGACAACAGGTGTGGCTGCCAACAAGAGGTCCTGACGTAGGGTGTGGTTACTTGGTATTTTGGGCCTTAAGATGGCCCTTAGAGGTAGATCCACTCCATCCTGACCAAAGGTCAGAGCACTGAAGCGCAGCACTTCTCCTTCTTTTGAAATAGGAGGTCTGCCTGCAGGATGCTTGGTCTAGCGTGTCTTCACTGCCCCAAACATCAAATGCTTTGCTCAGGAATTAATGGCTCGATGTCTCAATTATTAGAGCAAGTAACTGTTCTGGTTGTCCTTTGTGTCATGTTAAAGCATTCTTTTGCCTTCTCCCCCCTTTTTGTATTGGGTTATAAAAGTGAGTGAAAAATACACATGGGTGAACTCAGAATTCAGCATTCATTATTTGCTGAGTTACCATCCTGGTAGTATCTTATGTCTTTGTGTTTCTTTCTTATCTGTTTTTCCTAACTAACATTTCTAATCCTCACACCCCTACCCTGGAACATACAAGCCTGCTGCAGCTAGGATCACAGCAGAAGTTATCCCAAAACGGTGTCTCATGATAAAAAAAAAAAAAATCACCAGTGATTTACTGTGTGCAACACAAACCAGAGCATCCCCTGGTAGTGTCTGCATGTTTCTACCTCTTCCATGCCTATTGTGTTGTGGTGTTCTGAACAAGAGTGGTCTCCAGGGGCTCATATATTTGAATACTTGGTCTCTGGTTAGTGAAGCTGTTTAGGAAGAGTTACGAGGTGTGTCAGTAAGTGGACTTTGATGGTTTCAAAAGTCCATACCAGCTCAGATGACTCTGTTTATATGCCCGTAGATCAGAATATAAGCTCTCAATCCCATGTGTGCCTGCCTGCTGCCATGTTTCTTGCCATGATGATCTTGACTTAGCCTTGGAAACTAGATAAGTTTCACTGCTTTAGAACTTAAAAGATAGTTGATCCTCTCAAGACATGGATTTCAAATTCAAGGGTTGCAAGTGATGCAGTAATGTAAAGGGAGACTGCTTTTCCGTTTCCCGGCCACCCAGACCCGAATAATCACATAAAAACTTTTATTAATTGCAACACTAGTTGGGCAACGACTTGGGCATATTCCCAGCTAGCTCTTACATCTTAAATTAACCAATTTATATTAATCTTTGTATTACTACAAGTCTGTGGTCTACTCGTCAGGTTCCAGTGTCTGTCTCCTTTGGCAGCTACATGGGTCTCTTTAACTGCACCTACTCTTTCTATATTTATTTCTGTTCAGATTTCCCGCCTGGCTTTACTGTGCTAAGCTATTGGCTAAAACAGCTCCTTTATTGATCATTGGGGACAAAACATATTCATAGCATACTCGGAGGAAATCCCACATTACAGTAATGTCCCCAGAGGCTCACAGAACCTTCTGTCTCCTATGGAGGCTTCCCATCTGACTGAATTTGTATTTCTTTGGCTGCCAAGATGCATAAATGCCTTCCATTTCTGAACTGCATTCCTGAAGTCAGACACCTGTAGTAAGAGGGGGAGCGGGCTGTGTCCTGCCGCCCGGCTAGCTTAACCCCTGAAATAACCACCCGGAAATTGTATTAATTAAATTACTGCCTGGCCCATTAGTTCTAGCCTCTTATTGGCTAACTCTCACATCTTGATTCAACCCATTTCTAATAATCTGTATGTCACCACGAAGTTGTGGCTTACCAGGAAAGGTTCAGCATGTCTGACTCTGGCTACACCGTGGCAGCTCTCCCTCTGCCTGCCTTCTTCCCAGCATCCTGTTTTGTCTACTCTGCCCACCTAATTTTCTGCCCTATCAAAAGGCCAAGGCAGTCTCTTTATTTAACCAATGAAAGTAACACAACGACAGAAAAACCTCCTACACCAGACACCCAGCATCTAAAGAGACAAAAAGCATCTCTTCTAGCACTTTGTCTCACTTGGTTTTGGTTTAATTTGCTGGAGAAACTTGAAAGAATCCTGCTCCCATTATAGCATGCCATGTCAGATAACACAGATTGCTGTACACATGCATACCACTCCCAAGAATTTCATAGCTGTGTGCCTGGACTTTTCACCTTACAGCATCCCATCCTTTTTTAGGGCCATTTATGCCTTTTGGTTGTTCTCCCAAGCTTGTACGATACTTGAAGGGTTTAACAGTTACATCGTGAAATATTTTCACAGAGGGTGAGCAAGTAACAAAGCAAGGTCCTGGGTTAGCATTCTTTGACAAACAGCTTTTGATGTAGGTGGTTACATAGGGTTTATGGAATTTCAAGTTTTCTGATTTTATTTTCATTATCTTTTAGATATGTACTCCATGTTATATGCTCCGTGTGTGTCATATAACTATCATGCAATTTTAGAGTAACCAGACAAGTCTTCAGTGCTCAACATTCTCCGGGAATAGATCGCTGCTGCCGGGAGCAATTGTGTCTCATGTCAAACAGAACCCTAAGTTATTTAAATACCATATTCAACAGCTCTTTGAAGTGGTGGAAGATTGCCTACCTATGCAGAATACAATCTATGTATCTAAAGAACCTAATTGGTCTAACTATAACAAACATGGATGACTATTGATTTATAATTCTTAATACCTATATAGCTTAAAGACTAAGACTTTATATTAGAATATTATACAATCTTTAAACAACTGCAACAAATGAGAACAATGACCTCAAAATATAAACAATGTATAAGTATCTTGATTAGAGGTAGAAATTTATATTGCAATATAATAAATATATCCTAAAATTGTATCAATCTACAAAATGTCTTAAGTTGAATTAGAAGCATGCATGCATACAATATGATAAATAACTTTGCCTAGGTGTACAAATATTGTAGACGAAAATAGGAACATACTCAATATAAGTTTGTACCAATATATAAGAATCTATACCAATGTAAATTGCCTATAAATTATACCTCACAAGTATTCATTATTCACTATTATTAGTGTGAGTAAGCTCACACTAATCTATTATCCCATCCAATTTCCTTTTTTTTTCAAAGAGATCCTTGAGCTTACATAATCTTCCCCCCAGCCCCCAATCTTATAACAATTATATTCAACCTTTAAATGATGTCCCTAACCATAGGACAGACTTTGTTGGGAAAGGGGACGTCGTCTTCTAGAATTACTTCCAGCTGTCATGGTATAATAGCAAATAGTCTTTGAGTATTTGGTAGGATTTTTCTGAGGTTCCTATTTGGAGTTCTAGCCAGAAGACTGTAAAAATGTGCCCTATTTCAGCTAACCGAGTTGGAATCTATCTTGAGCAGCTGGTACACAAAATAGGTCTTATAATAATGCTATCAGCATCATGACATTATATCAACCAGGTGGAGTTGTTGTTGTGGGGCCCCATCTTCCTGGAAACTTCAAAGAGTACTCCAGGAACTTTTATTGTTCATTGTGGAAAACTTAAACATTTTTTATACTGATATGTATTCAATGAAAGGTATGATGGAGACAAAAGTAGGTAGGAAGAAAAGTAAATTTTTTTTCTAAATTCATTCTCTCTGTCCCATACCAGACATAAGACAGAAGCTCTGAAATTTTCTTTTAACAACATGCTTATATTTAGAGAAGAACATGGCAGAAGGATGAGTCCATGTCATGTGGCAGAGTTGAAGGCAGGGGTCCTGGTACAGTGGCAAGTGTCATAGAGAATAAACCCAGAAACAGCCTGGTGTGGCAGGAAGTGCATACCTGATCTGTAATCCCAACACTTGGGAGCTGAGACAGGAGGATTGTGAGTCTGAAGCCACCTATATTAATTACCACGGCCTTGCCTCAAAAACAAAAATAAGGACTGAGAGATGGCTCAGAGATTAAGTGCACTGACTGTTCTTCCAGAGGTCTTGAGTTCAATTCCCAGCAACCACATGGTGGCTCACAAACATCTATAATGAGATCTGGTGCCCTCTTCTGGCCTGCAGGGATACATGCAGGCAGATGCTTTATACACAATTAATAAAATAAATCTTAAAAAAGATAAATAAATTAAAACAGCAAGCACAAAGGCTTGACCTGGGGTGTACTCAGCTCTTGGGAAGCCAGTGTGGTTACAAAGTGAGGTCCAGGCCACCTAGAGCTCCACAGTAAGATCCTGTCTCAAAAAATCCAAACAAAACCAGCCAGCTAACCAAACAGAGCAAATATGAAAAAGTTACAAAGGAAACAAAACAAAACGAGTGCAATAGTTATCACTCATTCAAGAATGCGGTATCGTGGCGCTCTGGTAGAGCACAGCAAGGCGGCTTCAAAAGTCCACCACTCTTCACAAACCACACAGAAGAGCCTACAAAAAGCTGGATGAAAATTACAGAAAGTTGTACTACTTCTAGAATTGATAATTGAGTGAATTTCCCCACAGTGTTAAGGTTTAGGAAGAAGGCACAGTTTTTCCCTGAAACGTATCGGATTGAAAATTTTGAGAAAACATCAGAGAGGACATATTCCAAATTGTGTTCTATTGAAAAACCAGACACCACCGATTTTACCCTGTGCTGGACTCTGCATACTTCATCACTAACCTTGGAACAATAGCAGCATGGCTGGGATGGGGTAACCAACTGCTTTCTGCATAGATTTGAGACCCGCTGCCCAGAATGAATTAATACCTGGTATCATAAACCTGTTCAAAACCCATGTTTGATTCCATGACCCATGCAGTCAGGTCCTGGAAACCTGACTGAGCAATGGGAGATTAAGAAAAATGGACATAAGCAGCGTAAAGCAGGATAGGGTGGGCTGTGCA